TTTTTTTTTTTTTTTTTTTTTAGGGGTTTTTCCCATAAGGGTGGGGCGCTCTGCGCTCGCCAGACAGACAGAGAGACAGAGAGACAGAAAGCGAGAAATCATCCCCCAGCGGGGATGGTCACGCCGCAATCCCCTCTCCTACATTCTCCTCTCGGGATCCTGGGCACACACGCACACACGCCCGGCGTGAGTTTCAAGCAACCGGGTCCGGGACGCGAACCGCGGCCAACTACGTGGGAGTCCAGTGACATAGCCATTACGCTAACTGCTGGTTCCCATGGCTGTAATCTTCTTTACCTTTTCATAGCATTTGACATACTGAAACCTCCTACCTTTTCGAAAATCGTTCCTCTCTTGGTGTCCATGGCTCAGACACTTCCATAAGCACTTACTGAGCATTTTACTATAGTCAAGTCTTGTCTATTTGCTTCCATTCTTACCATTCAGGAACTTTTTCCTGAATCAGTTACTTGTTCCTTGATTCCTTAGCATGACTATTTTGTTTTAGTTTTTAATTTGCCAGAGGGTGTGGACACTCACCAGAGGGAGATAAAGAGAGGACAGGAAGAAAGCACCCCCCTACACACACACATACACACCCCACCCCCAGCTTGGTCACATTGCAATCCCTTCTCCATTCTGTTGAGACCAGGCATGCACAACATGCACATGGTATGCTTTTCAAGCCACAGGGCCAGGATTCAAGCTACATGATTGGCCATGCGGGATCCAGCTCCCTCAATCCATAGGCCACAGGACCAACCCAATAGGTCTTTTCTTTATTTAGTTTTCCTTTAAAGTATGATAAAACATATGTAAGATTTACCATTGTAGGGACCAGCAGATAGTGGAATGGTTACCTCGCTGGACTCCCGCTTAGCTGACTGCAGTTTGAGTTCCAGACTCAGCACCTTAAAACTCAAACTGGGCATGTGTGAGTGAATGCCCAAGATCACGAGAGAAGAAGGGAGGAGAAGGGAATGCAATGTGGCCAACCCCCTGAAGGGTGATTTCTTGCTTTCTGTTTCTCCCTGTCTCTCTGGCAAGCACACGTGCCCTATTCCAAAAATCTCTTTCTAAAAAAAAAAAATTTACCACTGTAGCATACAAGTGACATTAAATACATTCAGTGTTGTGTAACCATCATCACCATCTAGCTCCATCCTTAATATATTTTATTTACTCATTTTTCTGCTTTTTTTCCATAAAGAATTTGAGGTAGCTCACCAACAGAACATATATAAAGAGATAATAGCTTAAAAACAACTAAATATCCATGAGTTAACACTGACATAAGTAAAATAAATAAGTGGGTAGAAGGGAAAGTTTTTCCTTAAAGTAAAATTCCAATGAATAAATGTAGAAGGAATGATGAAAATAGAAAACTGTCATCAGGGGAACACCACAATAATAACTGTTAAGAACAAGACTGTAAATAAAATTACTTAGTATGAGTACAATGAGAAATAAGATATATACATAGTTTCAAAGTATCTTCTAAGATACTTTGTAATTACCAAAGGAAAAATATTAACTTTGTAGCAGATAAACCTGGCAGACATCCCCTCAGTCAAATGATCTAAATTAAATCACTAGGCTCAGTCACAATGTCCAAGATGCTGTGCTCTACAGGCTAGGTGTACATGGGAGACCCAGTCCAATTCTTGGCCCAACCTTAAGGCCAGGAACAGTGAAATTAGAAGGCCCAGGCAGGAGGATAGTGAGATCGAGGCTGAACCAGGCAAGACTTGTCAAAGAAATAGTTGGGCGTGTGGAAAGCATCTGTAGTCCCAGATGGAAGGCTGAGGCAGGAGTACTGCAATGCAGAGGGACGTTGGCTAAAAAATAAAAATAAAAGGCTCCAGCAGATGGCGTAGCGGTTGCATTGCTGGATTCCCACATGACCAACCAAGGTCCAAGTCCCAGACCTGGTGGCTTGAAAATCACACCGGGCACATGTGTGTGCATGCCCAAGATCCTTGGAGAAGAATGAAAGAGATGGGATTGTGGTGTGGCCATCCCCTCTGGGGAGTGATTTCTCACCTTCCCTCTCACTGTCTCTCTCTCTCTCTCCAGTAAGCGCATGCACCCAAAACAAAAACCTCTAAAAACACACACACATACACACACACACATAAATTTAAAAATTAATTTTAAAAATTCGTGGTAGAGTTTGTGTGCATGAATGTAAGACTGAAGGAGAGAGAGAGAGATGAGCACCCTCCATGGGATCCAGTCATGTTGTGATCTTCCTCCAGTCCTCCAGCCCATTGAATCTTGGGCATTTGCACACATGCCCGGGTCAAGGCAGAGATTTGAACCATAGTGGCCATGGGGGACCCAGATTCTCTTGCACAACACATTACCATTGTGCCATGGAGCCAGCCCCCAACTTTTAATTTTTTAAAAATTAAATCACTAGCAAAAAGTTTTCAGCATGTACCCCCTGACATGATATACCGAGAAGTGACAAGCGCATTTCTGTGGTATTCTTGCCAAAAGTACATAACCCCAACTCATCACGACAAAAACATCAGACAAACCCAAAACTAAGAATATTCTACCAAATAATTGGCCAGTGCTGTTCAAAAGGATCAAAGTCATAAAAGACAAAGACTACCCCAGATAGAACTATCCCTGATTTAAGGAAAGGTATCAGCTAAATACAATGTGAGATCCTGGACTGGCTTATCAATCTAAGGACACTAAGAGAAAATGGCAAAATTCAAATAAGATCTGTAAATTAGAAAATAGTATTACTATCAATGTGAATTTCTGGTCTCAATAATAACAACATCATTGTACAAAATGTTAACATCAGGAGGAGCTTGTGAAAGATATACTATCTATATTTTCTGTTTTTCTCTAAGTGTAACAGAATATTTATACAGTTTTATTCATAATCACCAAAAGTTGGAAATAACTCAAATGTCTTTCAACCAAGAAAGGTCAAATAAACTGTGGTATTTTTTATATCATTTATTGATTTATTTTTATAAATCAGAATCAACTCCTGACTTATTAAATTGATCAGTTTATTACTGTGTCAGTAAAATAAGTTTAATAAGTACAGCCTTATAATGTTTCCAATATATTACTTTTCTCACATTTTCTTTAAGTTGTTCATAGTTATGCTTCCATCTAAACTTCATTGTCACGATCCCTTTCAGCAACCCCCAGAATCCTACTGTAATTTTTCGGTATTTCCATTTATAAAAATTAACATACCAAGAACTGGCAGCTTTACAATATTTAATTTTCTCATCTATAAGCACTATTCTCTATTTATGGTCTTCTTTTATGTTACTCAGTAAAACTGTATAGTTGTAAAATTATGTAGATAGGTTAAGAATCCCTAACCTGGGAAGCAGTGAACAGCGTAATGGTTACGTTGTTGGGCTTCCACATAGGAGACTGCAATTCGAATTTCGGACCTGGCAGCTTAAAACTCCTGCCGGGTACGTGTGCGTGTGTGCCCAAGATCCCGAGAGGAGAAGGAATTACAGTGTGGCCATCCCCCCACCCCGGGGTGATTTCTTGCTTTCTGTCTCTGGTAAACGCATGTGCCCTATAGCAAAAATTTCTTAAAAAAAAAAAAAAGAGAGAGAGAAATCCCTAATATGAAAACATAAAATCTAAAATGTTCCAAAATTTGTAACTTTTTGAGTGCTGACATGATGCCACCAAATGGAAAATTTTATATCTAACCTCATATGATGGGTCAGTCAAAACATGGAAATATAGACTACTGCATAAAATTACTTTCAGGCTGGGGCCAGCAAGTGGTGTGGTAATTAAGGTGCTGGACATTCCCACATGGCTGACTATAGTTCGAGTCCTGGACCTGGTGGGTTGCTTTCCTGCTTTCCTTCTCTCTGTGTCTGTCTTTCTCTGGTCAAATTAAGATAAATAAATAAATAAGATTAAATAAATAATTCTTTTACTTTCAGGCTATGTGTATAAAGTATATATGAAACATAATGTGGCATTAAGACTTGGGACCCAACTTCAAGATTTCTCATTATGTATATGCAAATATTCAAAAACCTGAAAATAATATAAAATCTAAAACACTTTCTGGTCCCAAGCATTTCATGTAAAGAATACTCAACCTGTATATGAGTATCATACACTTCTTGTTGAGATTGCCCTTAAACTTTTTTCTTTTTTAAAGAATTAATTAATTAATTTTGAATTTGACCAGAGAGAAACAGAAAGAGAGAAAGTTAGAAGGCAAGTGCCAGGCCTGGGACTCAAACTGTGGTTGGCCATATGGGAGTCCACCACCTAACCAGCATACCATGTGTTGGCCCTCAACCCTTACCACCTGCCGGCCCTGCTCCTACGTTTTTTATCATTAGTGGTGATGGTAGTTGTAGTGGTTAAAACTGTAATCTTTTTTTCCATTATATTTTCTAATTAGTATTAGTGACAATTATCAACTTCAATTTTGTGTAATATATACATAGCCATTTTTAATGAACTCTCTTACTATTTCCATTGGGTTTTCTCTACGATTTTATTAAGATTACTATATTTTTTAGAGAGGTTTTTGCTACAGGGTGTGCGCACTTGCCAGAAAGACAGACAGAGATAGAGACAGAGAAAATAAGCAAGAAATCACCCCCTAGGTGAGGTGGCCACACTGCAATCCCTTCTCCTCCATTCTCCTCTTGGGATCTTCGGTACGTACGCACACGGGCCTGGCGTGAGTTTAAGCCACCAGGTCTGAGACTCAAACTGTGGTCGACTACATGGGAGTCCAGCGACATAGCAATCATGCCAACTCCTGGTCCCAGAATAAGACTACTATTTTCAGTTACATGGTATGAGATATTCTATTGAAGGTCATATGTTATCTGTCTAACAATGAATATGATTCTGGGTTTCTTCAATTGCTTGTGTAAAATAGATTATAGTGCTTCCCACAACTGCTTATCTTAAAAACTCTTAAAAAAAAAAAAAAACTTTTTAAAAGTTTACTTATTTATGTCTTCCAGGAATGAAAGAAAGATAAAGACAGAAAGAGACAACACCCCCAACAGGGTCCCAACACAGAGACACCCTCCCCCACTCTAGCCCCAACCTTTAGCCAGCGTGGGACCTGGTACACGTAACAGAAAACACTGAAAACGAACGTCAGTTTCAGGTACTGCCAATTGGGTCTGAGGTTGGGAGTCTATTTGCATTAGTGTCTCTGTTTACAAAGACTAGCGGAGTAACTTCAAGGCTAGAACTATCTGTTTTTGTATTGCCTGTAAATTCATTTGGAGAAAAGCAGCATAAAGAGAGAGCAAGAGACTGATCAATTTAAGATGCTGCCCTCGAGGCCGGCAGGTGGCGTGGTAGTTAAGGGTGCTGGACTCTCATATAACTGACGGTGGTTCGAGTCTTGGACCTGGCAGTTTACTTTCTCACTTTCCCCTTCTCTCTCTCTCACTGTGTCCCTCTCTGGTCAAATTAAAATAAGTAGATAAATAAAATCATTTTAAAAATTAAAATGCTATTCTCAGACAACATGTAGCCTAGGGGTTAAGTGTATATGGATCCCACACGGTCAAGCACACAGTTTGAGCCGCAAACCAAGGGGCTTAGAAAACATGCTGAATGCATGTACATACATGCCCAAAATCCCAAAAAGGAGGGAGAAATGGAGAAGGGATGGTAGCATGACCATTCTCCAATGGGGGAGGGGTTCTCTCTCCCTCTCTTTCTCTGTTTCTGTCTCTTTCCAGTGAGGGCACGAACTCTCTGGCAAATTAAATAAAAATTCTATCCTAAAGTGCCCAGTGATATAACCTACAAATTGTTTCCTAATTTTCAAAAATAGGAGGGTTGGTTGCACATACTACAGTTTTGCATTCACCCCCAAACAATTCTTAAATGTATTATTAAATAGATAGTTTGTGGAATACTGGGAATAAATATTTTATCACAAAGTTATGTCATACTACCTTGGGGAAATGCCAGGGGTACATGAGGAAGAGTGAGCAACCTCACTGTTGTTGCAGCAAGATTGAGAGGGAAGACTGGGAGGAGAACGCACATCGAAAAGGTACACTGGGGCCTCAGATTCCCGTCTACGGAGTGTGGGTTTGCTCCTATGTGTGTGATTCTCCCAAGAAGGCTCTAGGCTTACCAGCTTCAATACCCCTGGGGAGCATGGCAAAGAACTGATTCCTGGGTCCCATCCTAGGCCTCTGATGGGGGTACTCAGGAATATATGCTTTTGGGCTAGCTTCAAAACTGATTTAATGCACCTAAAAAGTTTGCTACAAGCAAAGGAGAAATATAAAAAATTCTTGAGCAGAGTAATGATGTGGTCACAGTGGGGCTTCAGAAGCAAAAAAAATAAATAAACAACAGAGAGCCAGCAGGTGGTGCAGTGCTTGGGGTGGCTGGAGTCCCACATGGCTGGCCATGGTTCGGGTCCCGGATCTGGCAGCTTGCTTTCTCACTTTCCTTCTCTCTTTCTGTGTCTCTCTGATCAACATCAATTTAAAAAAAAAATGATAATGAATAAAATTAAATAAAGTAATTCTTTTAAAAAATAACAACAGAAACAATAATAATGACAATAGGAACCACCTCTGTTATTATTATTGCTTTACTTATTTCCTTATTATATGTCAAACACTGTTTTATGCACTTTACATACACTAGCTTATTAAAAACTTATAAGTAATCTACAAGGCAGGTGTAATCCTTACCACAGAGAGGATAAAATAAGGAAACAGAAGCACAGAGAAATTAATTTTCCCAAGGTCAGACAGTCATAAGGAATACAGCTGGGATTAGATTATCTTTAACATCAGTGTGAAGGAAGAATTGAGAAGGACTAGATGCAATAGATTCATTGGTAAATTACTGTTGCAATCTAACAGGAGAACCTGAATTTGGTTAGTCATTGGGAAAGATTGCTTCTTCACACATTCAGATAGGCTTAGCACAATAAGTAGGGTCTGTCTATATATTATGCAATGAAATTAAATCTGCCTGCTTTATGAATAAATAACACTGCAAAGTAGAAAACACACCTGCCTGCATGTCTGCAGTGCTAGAAGTGTAACAGATTTGAAGTTAAGAGATAAGTAAAATAGCTGAGCTTTGAGTCATTCCAAAAGACATTTTTTAAAAAGGCCCTTTTTGTTTTGGAACTAGAAGGGGTCTATTTTACTTTATGTTCCTTATCTAATCCTCTTAATCCTCAAAACTTGTTGACAAATTCTTCCTACTCTCCTGCCACACTTCACTATTATCAAACACTTACACAGTATAAACACTGTTCCAAGCTGTGAAGTTCTTTGCTTTATCATCATGACTAAGCATTTGGGTAACACTTCATGCTCAAAAAGAAGGGCACAATGGAGAAGAAACGTCACTTCTAATTCCATTGCACACTTCTCTTGCACACTGTACTAGGGGAACCCAACCACCTCCCTGCCAACACACAAATGCATACACTAAGAGCCTCAAAAAGAGAGAGAGAGAGAGAGAGAGAGGTTACAAAACTAAAACACAGATTGAAAGGTTCCTTTTCATTTATTTTTTCTTTTCTTTTTAGAGAAAGAGACTTTTGCTATAGGGCATGTGTGCTCACCAGAGAGACAGACAGAAAGCGAGAAATCACTCCCCAGGGGATGGCCACACCATAATCCCTCTACTCCAGTCTCCTCTCAGGATTTTGGGCATGCATGTACATGCACCTGGCGTGAGTTTTAAACTGCCGGGTCCAAATCTCGAACCACGGTTGACTACATGGGAGTCCGGTGACATAACCATTATGCCATCTGTCTGGTCCCAGAAGGCTTCATTTTTTAAAAAATGAGAATTTGGAAGTGCAAAGGCATAAAAGATCTTGTTCAAGGTTGTGAACAAAACATAGGGACTTGCATTCTGTTTCCTGGATACTCCAAACCTGCTAGTCACAATCTTTCACACCACATATCATACTCTTGGGCACTTCTTAAAAGAAAAAAATTACCAAACACAGTCCTCGAATTTCCCCGAATCATTACAAAGGCACTACTGGGGGTTAACAATTTCAGAAATTCTCAGGGACCAACAGTCAAAAATAAACCAAAAAGAAATAATTTGGCTCCTCCTCTACTCCTGAAGTAATGGCTTTGGAGAAACAGGCAACATTAGCTAAAATACCTGAGGAAAATATACTCTGGCTAAGTGAAATTCACCTCCATAATAGCATAATTTGTCAATTTTTCCTACTTATCTTCTAATTTCACACATCCCATTCACTACTTTCATTACCACTAAATGCTACCACCACAGTCTTAGTGGAATTGTAAAATGGTGCACCATCATGGAAAACAGTATGACAGTTCCTCGAAAATGTAAAACTACCATATAATCCAGGAATCCCACTTATGGGCATATATCCAAAGTAAATGAAAGCAGGGTTTGAAAAAGATGTTTGTACAACCACATTCACAATAGCCATTACACATACACAAAAGAAAATGGCCATTGCTGAATGATGGATAAGTGCAATGTGGCACATACATACAGTGGAATATTACTTAGCCTTGAAAAGAGGGACCAACAGATGCCATGATGGTTATGTTGCTGGACTCCCACATGGCTGACCATGGTTCGAGTCCCAGACCCAGAGGTTTAAAGCTCATGCCAGGCACATGTGCATGCATGCCCAAAATCCCAAGAGGAGAGTGGAAAGAAGAGATTGTGCATGACCATGCCCCTTGTGGGTGTGATATATCACTTTCTGTCTCTCTGTCTCTCTCTGGCAAGGCCCTGTAGCATAAATCTCTCTTTAAAAAAAAAAAAAGAAAGGAAAACCTATCTCAGGCTACAACATAGATGAACATTGAAGTTATTATGTTAAGTGAAATATGCAAGTTATAAAAACACAAATACTATAGATTTCCACTTACATGAGGTATCGGAAGCAATCGAATTCACAAAAGCAGAAAGTGGAATGGTGGTTACTAAGGATTGTGGCAGGAGGGAGAAAAGGAAGTGGCTGTTTAACAGACACAGAATTCCAATTTTACAAGATGTAAAAGTTCTGGAGATTGCTTCACAACATGAACATATTTAATATATATGAATTATACCCTTAGAAGTGGTTAAAATTGGAAATCGTCTGTGTGTTTTTTCAATCATAATTTTTAAAGTTGATCGGGGGCTATCACATATATATTATGTGTGTATATATTTCTTGTCACATAAGCTAGGGAACTTTAAATGCCAGAATTTAAGGATCTGATTATCTACAACATCACTACCCTCTTTTTGCAGATAACTGAAGCTAAGAGTAGTAAAGGGACTTCCCACATAAACTCGGATGCCACGCAGAACAATCCAAATACTGGCTCTTACGCTTAGCTGTCATTTCTCAGCTGTTACTGTGGGGATTAAACAAAACAATACAGGGTAGGGCTGGGTGCACAAGTACCTTTCCCCTTCAGCTGTCTCGGATGGTTTAATCTATAGCCAAAGCCCTGTCTAGGATGACAATGGTAAATAAAATATTTAAACAGAAAAGAATCAGGTAACATTTTTTATAAAACAGTCTTATTAAAATGTATTTATTTAATTTAGATCAACTCCTAAGATGCTGAAATTAAGCTAACTATCCAGTGAAGTAATTTTGCTTTGTGTTTAAATGTTTTCTCTTCAGAAAAAAAAAAATCTATCTAATTTCATGGAGAAAGTGGTTATAGGCCAAATTTGCCATCTAAAAGACGCTACTCCCAGAATAACCACGTCTCTCCTATACTCTAGTGGAAATATACATTTCTGTGACCTCTTCAGAGTCCCAAGTGGCAATATCTAGAAAGGTAACACTACTATCTTACAAGCTGGCAACGCCTTGTAACTCCAAGTGTGGTCCATCAATCTGCATCAGCTGGGAAACGTGTGAGAATGCAGATTATTAGTTCCACCAAGACTGACTTAATCAGAATCAGCATTCTCACAAGATGCCCAGGTGATTCATACACACACACACACTGAGAAAAACTGCTATAGAGAAACCTTCTCACATGCGAAGACGGTGCCATCTGCAAGGTTGTTCACTGCGGCACTATTTGAAATAGCAAAAACCTGGAATCAGCTCAAATGACTATCGACAAGAAAATAGATTATAATATAGTGGGGAACTATATAGCAATTTAGACAAAGAAGGATTACACAAAACAATATATATAAATCTCAAAAAAAGGAACAGTAAAAAAAATTCATGGTAAAATGTCATAATGCAAGATATCAAATATGAAAGAACACTGTGTGTGTGTGTGCATGTGTGTGTGCATGTATGTGTGTAAACATTTTTAAATGAATGGGACCAAATTAAGGATAGTAGTTACATCTGAGTAGAAAAAGAGAAAAACAGGATAAATGACAAACTCAGACTTTAATCATATCCAATTAATAGTTTATTTCAAAATGAAAAACACATCCAAAGTAAATGTGGAAGAAAAGGCTGAAAGCCAGGACCAGCAGATGGCGTAACAGTTATGCCACTGGACTCCCACATGGCCTACTGCGGTTCGAGTCCCAGACCCGTAGGCTTAAAACTCATGCCAGATGCATGTGCATTTGTACCCAAAATCCTGAGAGAATGAAGGAAAAAGGGTTGCAGTGTAACCATACCCCTTGGGGGGGGGGTGATTTCTCACTCTCTGTTTCTCTCTCTCTCCAGTGAGTGCACAGGCCCTATAGCAAAAATCTCTAAAAAGAAAAGAAAAGAGCTGAAAGGTAGATATTCAGAGAACATTCACTGTATTACTTTCTACACTTTTCTGAAACCTTGATATATTCTTTTTGTCACAAACAGGACTTTTTATTTGTCACTATTAAAAGTCTGAACTTTAAACAGAGTCTTGGACTGGTGGTTCATCTCTATCAGCTCGTTCAACTTTGGTGCCCGTCTCATTCCCAATGGTTTTTCCAGAGCTACTACCTTCACCATGAAGCTCCATGAGTTTTCCCAATTCAAACTTGAGTGTCTTCAGCATTTTCACTTTTCTGATGGAGACATCATGGAGTACCAGGGTAGATGGATTGGCAGGCCTTTTCTATGTCTTTTCCAATGCTGTCTGGAATCAGTTTATTGACCATTTTTTTCAAGTCATTTGTCTGCACCTCCCGGGTCATGATTTCCATCATCATCTTTCGGATTTGGCAGACCTGCTGATCCTGGGAATAAGAGGTCTTCCGTATTTGATTGTTGTGTTTTTTAGTAAACCCAACATAGGAGAGACGAAGCAAATAACCATCAGTAGTCTTGACATCAGCCTGAGCTTCGATCATGGTCTGCCATCTTTTGACCATGGAACACATTTTGTCACGGGTGAGATCTATGCCATGGAAGTTAGTCAGGAAGTTTTTGCCCTGATCGTCTTCAGTAATTAGCTTGAATTTCCTAAATGTGACTTTGTCATTTTGCAAATCTGCAAGGCTCACTTCAAACACATGGCCCTTAAGGCCGTCAGACATAATTTTGGTTCCTTGAGTCTTGGTAACTAGTGTTTTCCCAATATTTCTTATGTTGAACATAGCAGGTGCTTTCACGTCATAACAATCTTTTCTTAGAAAAATGGATCAACCTACTTTCTTCTTGGCTCCCTTTTGCCACCTTTCATAAGGCACTTATTCTTGCCAACTGCCATGGTGCTACTCAGAGAGTCAAAAGGCAATATATTTCTTTTTTTCTTTTTAAAGTTTATTTACTTTGTTCAGGAGACAAGGTACATACAAGTAAGAACAAGAGAAAGCACCTCAACAGGGTCTCATCATGCAGAGAACTCCTTTCCCCAGCCCTATAGCTCACCAGGCTGTCGGACTGAATGCACCTGGAGCATCTTCAGAGTAACAGGGTCCAAACCCATGACTGCCCTTGTGGCGCCAGTACTGCAATTCAGTATACTCCCTATGACAAGAAAAGGCTGAAAAGTGGGACCAGCAGATGGCATAATGGTTATGTCGCTGGACTCCCACATGTCCTAGTGCGTTTCGAATCCTGGCTGAGCCTGTAATTGTTTTTGAACGAGAAATAAGTTCTCCCCATTGGTTGGGATTTCTCATATTAAATGCTATTATACCCAACTTTGTGTTATAGTTATCTATCTGCCTTATGTAGATTTACACATCACTTATCTCTGAATGCATCTGCTCCTCTCCTCAACACACACACATGCAATATATATATATATATATATATGTAAAATCCTTTATGCACCAAAAATTATTTTAGGTGCCAGGAATAAAGCAGTAAACAGAATAGACCAAAATTTATGCCCTTGTGAACTTTACCTCTCAGAAGGGGTAAAACACAAAGTAACTTAAACGAGTTTACTATTTAGCATGTTAGAAGGTAGGTAGATGCTAAGGAGGAAAAGCAATGCAGGAAAGGGAGACAAGAGTTGAGGAGAGACCGTACGTGTGCTCTGGGAATGCAATTTTAGACAGGATACAAAAAGGGAAAACATACAGTAAGTATCGCAGTTTTCCTTTCACAGGTTCCTCACATGTACTCTGGGAAGATGGTGAGGTTTCAAACATTCAAAGCAATGTTCTATTGGCTAACCAAATGAATAAATCTGAATAGAAGACAGAAAATATGAAGAGCATGAAAACAAAGAATCATAATTCTCGCCTGAGGTTGCTAGAGAAAGATTCTTGGCAAAGTACATGTAATTAATCCAGTCATTCAAGAAAGTACTGAGTTCATGCCGGAAATAAAGACAGTAACTTCTGGAGATACAGTAACGAGGACAGACATAATCCCTGCCTTCATACAGCTTACGGCCTTACAGCAGAGAGAAACGCAAAGGAGCAATAAATATGCTGTGATAAGTACTAAAACGCAAATATGCACACAATGTTAAGGAACACATGGTAGGTGTATTTGCTTATGGACAAACACCTAATTCAGACTTTCCAGAGGAAGAACTGTCTAAGCTGGGACACAAAAAAGAAGGAGCTCCAGCTGAGCTTAGAGTAGAGGGGGAAAGTGTCCCAAAGGCAAAGGGGCAGCATGTGTAATGACATAGGCCCGGGCAGAGAAAATGCCAGAGAGAACATGCCAGAGAACTGAGCAGAGTCCACGGTGGCTGGGGTATAGGACAGGAGGGAGGAGAAGGGCTTTCCTAAGAGCAATGGGGTAGCCTTGGGAGAATGTTAGCCAGAGAGAATAAGATCAGATCCACATTATAGAAACATGACTGGCTGCAGTGTGAAGATAGACTAAGAATGAAGGCAAAGATACTTTCCAGCAGTCTGCTAAAATAATCCAGTTGAAAGATGAAAATAGCCAGAAAAGTAAATGCCAAGAGCATGTGCATGGTATTATGACCTCAGGAAACTGATCGTTACCCGTGCTGGGTAGTATGTTCCTATCCTAAAAACCTATTTATTGATTGATTGATTGATTGATTGGAGAGGTTTTTGCTATAGGGCGTGTGCACTCACCAGACAGACAGAGAGAGACATAGAGACAGAAAGCGAGAAATCACCCCCCAGAGGGGATGGTCATGCCGCAATCCCTTCTCCTCCATTCTCCTCTCGGGATCTTGGGCACGCATGCACACGCACCCAGCGTGAGTTTTAAGCCACCAGGTCCGGGGCGCAAACCATGGTTGACTACGTGGGAGTCCAGCGACATAGCCATTACGCTAACTGCTGGTTCCCAAAACCTATTTATTTTTAATTATAGTACCAGCAAATCATATTTGCCAGTGAATCATCAGTATCTCTTTCCCGGATAGTAGAGAAATTATATAAAATCAAAGATCCTAATAAAACAAACCCATAAAAATATTACCAGGAATGTACTTTATAGCTATCTAAAGTCACTGGGCTCTCCCCTAACAGAGCACCTTCACTTACACATTATGTCAATATCTGATATCAATCGTCATCCTTTCCTTTCACAAAATAATTTTTCTACCCATTTTAACAGCTTCGGAGACCTTGAGATTCATGCCTGGCTGTGTGAGAGGCAAGTACTGCTTTTCAGCTGAGTAAACAAAGGCAGACAATGAGGGCAATGTGGCGAATGGCTCTGCCCACTCAGATATTTTCCAGTGGGAGTGCATGCTGGGCTCCCTCATTTGGAAAGCCCAGGGGAAGGAACAGTCCAGATATATAACTGAACCACTGTCAAAATCATACTTCATCACCTATTTATTGATTGATTGATTGATTGATTGGAGAGGTTTTTGCTATAGGGCGTGTGCACTCACCAGACAGACAGAGAGAGACATAGAGACAGAAAGCGAGAAATCACCCCCCAGAGGGGATGGTCATGCCGCAATCCCTTCTCCTCCATTCTCCTCTCGGGATCTTGGGCACGCATGCACACGCACCCAGCGTGAGTTTTAAGCCACCAGGTCCGGGGCGCAAACCATGGTTGACTACGTGGGAGTCCAGCGACATAGCCATTACGCTAACTGCTGGTTCCCAAAACCTATTTATTTTTAATTATAGTACCAGCAAATCATATTTGCCAGTGAATCATCAGTATCTCTTTCCCGGATAGTAGAGAAATTATATAAAATCAAAGATCCTAATAAAACAAACCCATAAAAATATTACCAGGAATGTACTTTATAGCTATCTAAAGTCACTGGGCTCTCCCCTAACAGAGCACCTTCACTTACACATTATGTCAATATCTGATATCAATCGTCATCCTTTCCTTTCACAAAATAATTTTTCTACCCATTTTAACAGCTTCGGAGACCTTGAGATTCATGCCTGGCTGTGTGAGAGGCAAGTACTGCTTTTCAGCTGAGTAAACAAAGGCAGACAATGAGGGCAATGTGGCGAATGGCTCTGCCCACTCAGATATTTTCCAGTGGGAGTGCATGCTGGGCTCCCTCATTTGGAAAGCCCAGGGGAAGGAACAGTCCAGATATATAACTGAACCACTGTCAAAATCATACTTCATCAGCACTATCAATTCTGCTAACTGTCAAGTGGACAGTATATAAAACTTTGGGAACATGATGAGGTTTGTGAGCTTAAAATGAAAGCATGGGAATAAAGAAGGTAGGTATATGGGGATATTTGGTTGACAACAACAGATCTGACACACTAAACGACTTTACTCACCCTGGAAACCAGGAAAGCAATGAGCTGTCATCAGTGCCCTCTGGAGTCCGTGTGTGTACGTTAGAAGATGTGTGGCTGTCATCAAAGATGACACTGTTCAAAATGAGAGCTATGTTTATGTCAGGGTTTAAGTCTAAAAGACTAATTTTTTTCTTAATCAACCAGATATCACATGTAGAACGTTTGCCTTGCGTGATGCAATGTTTGAAGCTGCTTCTCACTTCTTTTCTTCTTGTTCAAAATGAGCAGTACATTCCTAACCAGGTTTGCTCAGACACCCAGGGTGCTAGTGAATAGTAGTACAGACTCTTCAGTGACCAAGCAACCAATATCCTGGAATTTGAAAAGAACTTTTTATAATGAAAAGTTCCACTATCAATAGACCGTTTTGCCTGCGTTGTTTTCACAGTGGCAACGGAACCTCTGCTGGAGACCAAAATTTCCTCAGTATTAGCCCTGAAGTCATCCCACCAGCTAAAAATTAGGCTCGAACAGAGGAGGAGGAAAATACTTTAAGTCTTAACATAACAAAAGATAATTAGATGATCAAAGATAAGAAAGCCCTTGCTGTAAAAATAAGGTGGGCCATAGACATTTTAAAAGAAAAATAAAGAGTAAGTTTCTTGAATTCAATAAATACTATGGAACAAGCACTGTTCAAATGAGAAATTGCAGCACACATTGTCTGCAGCTTCTATGACCATCAACAAATCACTTCTTTTTTTTTTTTTTTTGGAGAGGTTTTTGCTATAGGGCGGTGCGCTCGCCAGACAGAGAGAGACAGAGACAGAAAGCGAGAAATCACTCCTCAAGGGGGATGGCCACACCGCAATCCCTTCCCCTCTGTTCTCCTCTTGGGATCTTGGGCACGCACGCGAACCGCGGTCGACTACATGGGAGTCCAGCGACATAGGCATTACGTTAACTGCTGGTCCCAACAACTCACTTCTTTACGTCACATTTTCCTCACATGTAAAAACTAAATAATAATTTCTACCCTACCCTACCCAAACAAGTCAAACAATTCTTATGTTGCTAGTTTTTATCCACAGTTGGTCTATATTATGGCATTGTTTCTGGCATTGCTAAATATCTTAACAACAAAAAAGCCACCAATTTTTATTACTTCTCCCCCAAAACGGATGAGGTATGAACGAGGCAGGATTGGCCATGGGGTTATGGCTAAGTGGATGATAGGTACATAAAACGTCATTACCCTACTTTGTTAACTGTTGTATATATTCAAAATCACATCTTTAGATTTTTTTTTTTTTTAAAGAATTCTTAGGGACCAATGAGTAGCATGACGGTTAAGGCTCCGGACTCCCTTATGACTGACTGCCGTTTGAGTCCCAGACCTGGTGGCTTGCTTTCTCACTTTTTCTCTCTCTCTGGTCAAATTAAAAATAATAATAATGATAAAATTTTTTAAAAAAACAATCCTTTCCTCTAATCATCAAGTGTCTTTTTGACTGTGAGAGACCTTCAAAAAGTTTATGAAAGATACATATTATGGGCCAGCAGATGGTATGGTGGTTAAGGGTGCTGAACTCCCACATGGCCAATCATGGTTCGAGTCCCACACCTGGTGGCTTGCTTTCCTACTTTCTCTGTCTTTCTCTCTCTCATTTTATCCCTCTGTGGTCAAATTAAAAAATAAAGTTAAATGAAATAATTCTCTTTTAAAAAGATACATATTATGAAAACTATGTATGCATTTCAAAAACTTTTGCGTCAAATGAACTCATACTCAATTCCACTTTTCTATTGTACAAATGTTTACAGTCCCCTCATATTTAACATCAAGAATTATTGTTTTATTAAGACATGATTTAAAATAGAAGTCTTATTGGGGCTGGCAGGTGGCATGGTGGTTAAGGGCACTGAACTCCCATATGGCCGAACGCAGTTCAAGTCCCAGACCTGGAGGCTTGCTTTCTCACTTTCCCTCTTTCTCTCTCTGCCTCTCACTCTGTCCCTTTCTGGTCAAATTTAAATAAATAAAATAAAGTTGAATAAAATAATTCTTTAAAAAAATAGAAGTCTTACCTTTCAAAAATATATTCTGAAATATTCATAGATTAAATGATATCATGTCTGGTATGTATTTTCAAAATAATACAGGTAAGGAGAAAGGTAAATGGATGGGGGTGTGACTGAGACAGGATTAACTATGGCTGATGGTTATCCAGATGAATGACAAGCACAAGAAGGGCGCAATCCCTTCTCCTCCATTCTCCTCTCGGGATCTTGGGCACGCACGCACACACGCCCGGCGTGAGTTTTAAGCCACCGGGTCCGAGACGCGAACCGCGGTCGACTACGCGGGAGTCCAGCGACATAGCCATTACGCTAACTGCTGGTTCCCAAATTTTTCTATGTATGTATATATATTTTTCTTTCTCTAGTTTCTGCTATAGGGCGCATGTGCTCACCCAAGAAAGAGAGAGAGAAAGAAACCACCCTCCAGAGCAGTTGGCCATGCCACAATCCCTCCTCCTCCATTCTCCTCTCAGGATCTTAGGTATATACACACGCACCTGACTTGATTTTCAAGCCACCAATTCAAGACTCAAACTATGCAGTCAGCCACATGAGACCTAGTGTGTTAACCTCCATGCCACCTACTGGCCCCCATAAAAAAGTTTTAAAATGTCATTATGGTATTCTCATAGGTATATTTTCTTAGATTTTTGTACATGATAACAAGGTCATTGATCCCTTAAGAAAGTCAGATTTCAAATATTCATGCTAACCAAAGCTCCTCACCAAGATTATAATTTACATAAAGTAGGATTAAGTGCATTTTATCAAAAGTTCCCTAAATATATGGAAAACAAATAAGTTGCTATTCTAATGACTATTTTAACAATTAACGTTAGTAAATTCCTTCCCTGTGCTTTCAGCACCCATTGTTAGCTTGATTTTTCAGGTCCTAAATTTAGTCATCTAAGTCTATATGTTATACCAACAAGCAAAATTGGTTTCAAATGTTGCTTAATAAAAGCAGATAGAACACTAATTCATGTCCCCCTCTATTATTATACTATCTATGCACATAAACCCTTTAATTCAAAATTAATGCTGGAAAGGTTTAAA